TAGCGTTACTAAACTATCGCAATACGCCGCGAGATGGACTTCCGTCCCCAGTTCAATTGTTAATGAGCCGTAGAACAAAAACGCAGTTGCCAACGTCAGAGAAACTCCTAAAACTGAAAACTAACAAAAATATTGTCAAAACGGTACAAAACAAACAAAATAAACAGAAAACCTATTACGATCGTGGAGCAAAACCTCTCAAAGCACTGAAAAGTGGAGATAGAGTTTGTGTAAGAAAAGACACACAATGGAAGCCAGCGCTAGTAGTTGAAAAACACAATACGCCCAGATCGTATATAGTGATGGTAGATACTACAGGAGGAATCATAGAGATTTGATTGAACAGGAAGGACGTCAAAATACTCAAGACCGGCGAATAGAACCAAATAGCACAAGACATAACCGGCTTCGCTACCCGAAACGTAACAGAAAACCTGTTACAAAACTTGATCTGTGATTATATAAAAAAAAGGGCAGAATAATCCCTGTATAATCACTGTGCCAGCATAGTCTACTTCTGAGCACAAAAGTTAATGAACATTCATGAACAGAATGTAGTTATTATTAGTTTGTTGTAGAATTGTTGTATCAAATGAAAGAGAATGTATTACCTGTTGAGGATTTTTTATTAAGGAAAAGGAAACTAAAGTGCTAAAAAGAAATATTAGATAAATAGATTCTTTAAAAAAATAAAAATTAAAGAAAATAAATAAAAATAAAAAAAGGGAGATGTATTTGAAGGTACTTAAGATTATGAGTGAGCCCTCTATTGTATGATACATAGAGTAAGGACACATGAGCCTTAAGGCAGTTGATAACAAGATACCAATAAAGGAATATACAAGAAAGTCAGAATAGCCTACTGTATATTATTGTCTACAACATATCATTACAAACTTAAAATAAAAGAAGCCCTTTACAATGCTTGGGGAAATCCGTCACTGAACAAACAAACAACTCATTACAATATCACTCTCTCATTCTAATTCCTATACATGACTTACCATAGTATTCCTGACCTCTATATACATGACTTGCCTTAATATTTGCTTGTTTTGTCTTACATTTGATCGGTAGTATTTAAACCGTTAAGTAGCATAATTACCTGATGATTTTTAGGGACCACGGTGGAAATAAGTTACTTTTTGTACTTTTCTGTGTTTTTATCCTTGAATGTTTTTACTTATAATTACTTCAGAATGAATAAATAAAAAAAAAAAATGAAGTGGTACACGTCGAAACATGTCCTTCATAAGTTTCATGTACTTTATTAGATGCATTACTGCATTTGATTGCATACGTTGACATAATAGACATAAAATTTATTCAAGACGAATATTTCGGACACGCCTGTGTCCTTCCTCAGCGTTATACGTATGACTGAAAAAATACAGATCAGATTAACTAAAAACTGTAAGATATAAGGCGAGATCAATTCTAAGATAAAAGGTACGCCATAGGAACGGAGAAGTAATAAACAGTCGGCAACATAAAAAACGTTGGCGGTAACAGGCCTATGAAAATAATTGAACGGAATAAACAAAATGTCGGCAAAGTAATCAGCGTGTACACTGTAATCGAAACAGCGACAGTGGGCTTAAATAAATGATAAAGGTATATTAAAAGAATTATATAATATTGTTATAATATAAAACTATTAAAACTATAATGCTAATTACAGTAATATAATGATCATCATTCATAAACACAAATAGAAATATTTATAAAAGGTAAACCATTTATATTATTTAGTGAAGGAATAACTACTTATGAAACCTAGGTCTTTGTTAATACCAATATTGTGTGTGTTAAGTTTCAGATTCCACTGAAGTTCAGCACAACGTCTATCAGTGAAAGACCTGAACCCTGAAGCAATTAAAACAAATCTCATGGAGGGTTGATGGTTATGTTAGAATGAGGGAACTTGACAGAGTTGCTCGTGATGAGGATATCACAGATCTTACATCGTGGGCTGTTACAGGGACGGTTACCAAATAAGGGAGGAATAGGAAGTTGGGAGGATGTCAAGATATGTTTAAGGTTAGGGGGCTGGCGTTTAGCTGAGATGGGGGATTTTCGAAGGGTTTGTGGTCGGATAGTTGAGTTTGCAGCACCTGGAAGTCCGCTTTATAGACTCGGACAGCTGATAAATGCGGGAGTTGTAGTCAAGTATAAGAGGAATGCGTGTGACTTTAGTTTTAGGTCTATACTGGAGAAGAGCATGTCGGGATTTGGATGATGCTTTGTCAATGTTATGTTTGATGAATGGAATCGGGTAGTTGCTTTGGCTTAATTTGTAGATAAGAGTGTTAATATGTCTGTTATATTCAGTAACATTGGAACATATACATTTAATGCGTAGAGCTTGGCTGTATACTATGGATCGTTTAATACTAGCGGGATGGGAACTGTTGAAATCCAAGTACTTGTGACTGTCCGTAGGTTTAGTGTACAAAGTAGTAGTAAGTTTGTTGTTATTAATGCAAATCAAAGTATCAAGAAATGTTATTTGGCTGACGGACGTGAATTTGATGCTGTGGTGGGCGTTGTTGAAATTGGAAATGAAGAGTTTAAGGGATTCCTCTCCATGTGGCCATATAAAAAAAAGTCATCAATGTAACGAGTGTAAAATAATGGTTTAAGTGTGGAAGTATCAATCAACTGGTTTTCAAGCTTAGCCATGAACACATTGGCGTAAGAGGGCGCCATTTTTGTGCCCATAGCAGTGCCTTTAAGCTGACGATAATACTTGTTATTAAACTGAAAGTTATTGTGTGTGAGAATGAATTTAATTATAGATATGATATCATCAGTGTAAGGTAGGGGATGGAAAGAGTCAAGAAACTGTTTAATAGCCATAAGGCCTTCGTCATGCGGTATATTAGTATATAGGGCTGTGACATCCATAGTAACCAGAATAGAATTATGAGGAAGAGGGCTGGGGATACGATTGAGTTTTCGGAGGAAGTCAGTGGTGTCTTGAATGTAACTAGGGATGTTACAAAGAAGGGGATTAAGGATGCCATCAACAAATCCAGAAATGAATTCAGTGATGGTACCTATGCCAGAAAATATTGGTCTACCGGGAGGGGTAATTTTAAGGGACTTGGCTAGGTCGAAAATAACCATGGGGTCTAGAGATGTGAGATCACAGATGTTGTAAGGATGAGCTGTAGGTTGAGTTTTGTTGGCAATGAGCTTAGGTAGTTTGTGTAACTTAGGAATCGTGTAGAAAGTTCCAGAATTCGGGTTGTCGGGGATAAGAGAGCTTACCTTAGCATGTAAGTCAGGGTGACATTTAGATATCAATGATGTTAACTCGTTCTTATCTATCATAGATTGATCACATTCTACCAGTTCATAAAATGTAGTGTCCGATAGTTGAGATTCTGCTTCAGCAATGTAATCTTGTCTATTTAATATTGTGGTAGCGCCTCCTTTGTCCGCTTGCTTAATAACGATAGATGTGTCCTTACTTAAATCGGTCAATGCCTTAATAGTTGAGCGTTAGAGAGGATTTTTGAAGAAGGGCCATTCACTTCCTTGATAAATTTGTCTAGATGACATCTTGCCAATGAAACAAATGCATCAATATGTGCATTTCTACCATTTGGTGGGGTCCACTTCTCCTTGGTTAAAGAGTTAAGTTTGGTTTGATAATGTTCATGTGTATCGTGACCTTGACCAAAGTATTTGCTGAGCCTGATTTGTCTACAGAATTGATTGAGATCCGAGCAAAGTCTAACTGGGTTCAAGTTTTGTGATGGGCAAAAAGAAAGACCTTTGTTCAGAACATTTTTTTCATCTTGAGAAAGATTACGATTAGAGTGGTTGGCTATAACAGACAGAGTCGTACTTGGATGAGTTCCGATACGGATGCATGTATTTAGGGAAGTGACTGAAGAGTCAACTGTCCTTAGATAAGTAGAGGTGGTGTAAATATCTGTCCGCTGTGATCAGCTTCAACAATTTATTCAACTTTCTTTCTAAGCATAGATGCAGTGTTGAATTGTAAGACTGTTCGATAAATTCGAGGGTACTTACAAGAGTCGATTCTGACGTGATGAGCTGTCGAATTCGGTTTTCACAATCATTGATTTTCCTGGTTAAATAGCGTTGGTCAGAGTAAGATGAATGAATCTTGTGGATTAGAAGTTTCCACAAGAATTGCCGGCAGAGTTTGTTAGTCGTTGCTCTAGATTTTGGATTAGAAGAGGTGTACAGCATAGGATTTTTAATTCGTAAGCCTGATGGGATAACATCCAGTGCCGTGCATTGGGATAAAAATATAATGTCCGATCTTACAGTAGCTAGACTGTTCCATAATTTTCGTGGAGTGGTTCAGTGTCAAGGCGAGTGCCAAAATTTATCATAATACTGTAGTATCCGATGTAGTTGGTTCCACGTATGTCTCACAAAAATATATAATAAAAAGCAAATACGAAAAAGAAACGATTGCATACGTTGACATAATAGAGACATAAAATTTACGCCTGTGTCCTTCCTCAGCGTTATACGTATGACTGAAAAAATACAGATTAACTAAAAACTGTAAGATATAAGGCGAGATAAATTCTAAGATAAAAAGGCACGCCATAGGAACGGAGAAGTAATAAACAGTCGGCAACATAAAAAACGTTGGAGGTAACAGGCCTATGAAAATAATTGAACGGAATAAACAAAATGTCGGCAAAGTAATCAGCGTGTACACTGTAATCGAAACAGCAACAGGGGGCTTAAATAAATGATAGAGGTATATTAAAAGAAATATATAATATTGTTATAATATAAAACTATTAAAACTATAATGCTAATTACAGTAATATAATGATGATCATCATTCATAAACAGAAATAGAAATATTTATAAAAGGTAAACCATGAAGTATTTGTACATATACACACATGGTAATATGTTACCAGCTATATTTAATAAAACAGATGAGCAAACTTTCAAAGGTTGAAAACCACTGCAGGCTTTCAGTTTTTTTTTATTCTCACCTGTCCAGAGGCTGTGAGGGCCAGTGATGATTGGCTACCACAGCCAACTTTACGAATGAACATTCCCAGTAAAGCTTCAATTACTTTCGGTTTGTATACTCGAATAGTGTCTCCATGGCCTAGTTTACCTGCAAAAATGTTAATGTAATGCAATGATTTTGAAGTATTTGTACATATGAGAGGTAGAAACAGATATTTATGCTTTTTAATGAAACAGTAGCTATGACTAAGCTACCACATTACCATTATCGCCACCACCAAACGACCACACAGTCCGGCCATCTTGCGAGACTGCAATTGTGTGAGAGCTTCCGCAGATTACTTGCCCAACGCTACTTATGTCCTTGACTAGAGTAGGACAATTCTTGCTATTACTATCACCATGACCTGTTTCAAAAAGAGTGATGTTTATTCCAATTAATAATAGGCCGTGGGCTGGAGGGGGGTCACCGTGCACCCCCCCCCCCAACAGTTAAACTTAAAAATTGACGCAACTAGAAGTCAAAAGGTCATTGACCTACACAGAAAAGTTGTATATTTATTCCCAATTCACTCACAAACGTTTACAAATCTACAGTTGAGTAGATTTGATACCAATTAGTATTTTCTACTATTAATAAACATATGGAATATCAAAAATTATATTAACAAGAAAAATGTATAAATTGATTAAATGTATTACAGTCATTTTTGATCACTGGTGTAATCAATGGCGATGTTTGGGGTAGGGGTTAAGAGCAGTTGTCTGTAAAAATCAAAGAAATTTCAAAAATAGTGGCAGACTCAAAAAAATGGATTTCTTTCAAATTTTGCACATGGCTATACTTTTGTTAAGAAAAATCAAATATGAAGTTTTATTCACTTTGTGCGTATATTTCCATGGCAACAGGTAAATTTGTATTTTTGGCAATTTTTGTCATTTTTGGCTGTTTTTAAATGTTAATATTAGTAATAATTTGATACAATATTTCTGATATCCTTATGGATTATTCATAAAAAATAATGAGTGCATGTATAAGGTCAATATATTGGGTATCTTGTTGCATATTATAAAATGTTTTTTTGGATTACGTAGTTGAGAGATACCATGTTTTAAAAAGGGGTGTCTTTCTTTTTTTTCAAATTATGAAAAACGTCCAAACTTTAAGTGCTCATAAACCTCAAAGTGGTGCTTTTTTAGAACTGATTTTCTACAAATAGGTAGTTCTAATGCTTCCTTAGAGAATTCCAGTTTAAAAAATGTGGGTAATTAAAAAAACGTACGAGCAGTGCATTTTTAAAAATTATAATAGTAAAATTTACCAGTTTTTTCCGCTGATTTATTCATAGATTCATTTGATTACAACAATAATAAATGTTTTTCTATACTTTAATTAATGTTGTGATTTTTAAAAAAACAATGTTTGTGGTATCAATGTTGTCATTTTTCTGTTTTAGCGGTATTTTAAACCCTTTTTAGGCGAGTTTATAATAATTTCACTTTATAAATACCAATTTCTGACAGTGGTGTCACCAGTTGACACAGCACATTTACAATATTTTTTAATGAAAACATGCTGCTTTTCTGGCAATACAGGAACCTTACAACACATTCCTTAGCATGTTGTTAAACTAGTCAGGTAACTATATTTGTTATGGTTAATGAATTATATTATATTTTATAGCGTTAATTTTCAATAAAAACAATGCTGTTTTCTGGCAATACAGTACAAAATTAAGTTTTAAATTACTTGAAATGAGCCTGGCAACACATTTCTTAACATGTTATTAGATTATTTATGTAACTATAGTAACATTATTTTAAAATAAATTTATGTTGATGTATAGTGTTATCCATTCAGTAAAAAATGATATTTTTTATTCAAAAAATGACATTTTTTCTGGCAATACCGCATCCACGTGTTTAAATTACCCACAACTTTTATTCTTGATTATTGTTTGGACAACTATTGACTATCAAAATATGGAAGATGGTGTATATGTGTGCACCACTTTGGAAGCTACAGATAGGTTTCTGAGGCACACTTTAAAAAATATATATTTTGAGAAAAAACCCCTTTTGTAAGTAATGGTATCTTCCAAACAGAATTTTTTACAGTTTTTTTTTTGCGATAAATGAAAGTTAATACTGTTATTTACATGGATGATCACAAAAATATATATAGTGCATGTTCCTTTTGTTAAATAAGGTCTGAATGTCAGTGTTTTTTCACTTTTGAAAATGTCCAAAATTTACAAAAACGAAAAATTTTAGATAATGGGTCGTTGCCATGACAACAAAGGCTAAAAAATTAAACAAATGTCATTGATTTGCTTTTTATCCAAGTATCTATTCATGGTAAAAATTTGAGAGAAATCCATTTTTTGACATCTGCCACCAAATCTTTGATTTTTATGGACAACCATTCTTAACATTTAGGTTCATAACTCATGATTTATAAAATAAACGAGCGGTACTGGATAAAGACAACTTGGTTTCTTGCTTCAAACAAGGTATCCATTCATATAAATCTTATGAAGATGAGCCTAACCAAGTGATGAACCTAAAAGGGTCGAGGACCAGGACATACTGTACATTCGACTTAGATTGACAAAGATTGAAATTTGTTAAATACAGACACGATATATACATAGGCCTAGGTCTAGAATCCAGTTAGAATATGTAATTATATATCAAAATGGTATATTTATAGTAGTATTGTCAATAGTAGTATATACAGTAGAACCTCAATTTTACGTACGGTACGGGACCGGAGGGCGTACGTAAATCAGGGGATTCGTAAAATAGAGGTTGGGTTAAATTTGTGGTAACAATTGACCTAATACGTACGTAACGCTCAATAAACGTACGAACGAAGGATGTTACCTAAGCTAGACCTACCCTCTAGGCCTACAAATAAAACTATATGTGTTTAGTGTTTTTATTCATCACTTTACGATGTCATAATAAAGTGTTCAAATAAAACCATGTGTCTAGTGTATTAATTCATCACTTTATATCTTTTAATTAACTAAAATAAAGAACATGAAAATATTGTAAGATAAGCTATACGACAAAGGTATAACTTAAGAATTCCCCTTCATGCCTATTCTAAACAACAGAGCCGTGGTGTTGTCTGGGCCTGTTGAGACAAACGAAAACCATGTGCACTGGGCGAGCCAACCAATTAGCGTTTGTGTACGTGAAACAGCAACCATGTGCTATGCACTGGGCGAGCCAACCAATTAGCATTCGTGTACGAAACTATGTCTACCCAGCTTCGTGTAGAAAATTTGACCACGTGAGTTCTTCCATGGTTTGCCACACGAAGCTAAGAAGGAAATAAATTATTTTGAGCACCATCGGTAGTTGCTCATCTCACTCAGTTCACATGGTTTTAAATTATAACAACCCGGTATTAGGCTCAATCA